TAGGACCACGGAACTCAGTACACTAATAAATTAAACATAATAATCGGTGAGGTTAGGACCACGGAACTCAGTACACTAATAAATTAAACATAACAATAGGTGAGGTTAGGACCACGTAATTCAATACACTAATAAATTAAACAGTACAATAGGTGAGGTTAGGACCACGGAACTCAGTACACTAATAAATTAAACAGTACAATAGGTGAGGTTAGGACCACGGAACTCAGTACACTAATAAATTAAACATAACAATAGGTGAGGTTAGGACCACGTAACTCAATACATTAATAAGTTAAACATAACAATCGGTGAGGTTAGGACCACGTAATTCAATACACTAATAAATTAAACAGAACAATCCACCATTATTACATCACTAACTAAGTACCATTACTACATCAGTAACCAAGCACCATTACTACATCACTAACCAAACACCATTACTACATCAGTAATCAAGTATCATTACTACATCACTAACCAAATACCATTACTACATCAGTAACCAAGCACCATTACTACATCACTAATCAAACACCATCACTACATCAGTAACCAAACACTATTACTACATCAGTAACCAAGTACCATTACTACATCACTAACCAAACACCATTACTACATCACTAACCAAACACCATTACTACATCACTAACCAAACACTATTACTACATCACTAACCAAACACTATTACTACATCAGTAACCAAGTACCATTACTACATCACTAACCAAACACCATTACTACATCAGTAACCAAGTACCATTACCACATCATTAACCAAACACTATTACTACATCAGTAACCAAGTACCATTACTACATCACTAACTAAACACCATTACTACATCACTAACCAAGTACAATTACTACATCACTAACCAAGCACCATTACTACATCAGTAACCAAGTACCATTACTACATCACTAACCAAACACCATTACTACATCAGTAACCAAGTACCATTACTACATCAGTAACCAAACACCATTATTACATCACTAACCAAGCACCATTACTACATCACTGACCAAGCACCAGTAATACCCAGTATATATACACATGTGTTCTGAAATTTCTATTAACTGTTAAATTGTGTTGTTTGTAAAAGTTAGTTTAATGGGTAGATTGTTTTGTTTGTAAAAATTCTGTTAACAGTTAAGTTGTGTTTTCTTTAAGTTCTGTTAACTGGTAAAATGTGTTGTTTGTAAAAGTTGTGGTATTGTGTTGTGTTTTCAGGTTCCTTTCGTATCAAGCAAAGTAATTGCAACTTCCGGTGTGTTTGTCACGGGAGCATGTTCCGTCTTGTTTGGGTGAGTTTTTTTATTTAACTATACACATTTAATTTATAAATACTGATCGTTTTGTTTAATTGCATAAAGATTCTATCGAGCTACACGATACATTGGTTTAATAGTACACAGATCCTGTCGAACCACGTGATAATTTGATTTAGTTGTACCTAGTCTCTATTGAGTTCCGTGGTCCTAGCCTCACCGATTGTACTGTTTAATTTATTAATCTATTGAGTTACGTGGTCTTAACCTCACCTATTGTTATGTTTAATTTATTAATGTACTGAGTTACGTGGTCCTAACCTCACCAATATCGAAAATTAAACAGAATTACTATTTTTATTGTTGTTCAAAATCTGTATTACAGAAAACTAACGAGAACTATATATAGCCTCCATGCATAGCCTAGAGTAGCCTAGCCTAGCCTAGCCTGACCCGTCAAGAAATGAAGGATAAGAACGTATTTTCTAGTTACGTCATACAATCTAAATCTCACCTAACCTACCTCCTAATCATGATTAGTATATTTTGATTTCAATAAATATTTGATGTCTATGAATTAATATTATTTACTGTACAGTTAACAATGGTTAGTGAATAAGGAGTCTATTACCTTTCACGGTCGCTTTATTAGTAAATGAAATTCATTTTAACTATTTCCAGTATAGAAGTGGTTAGAAAAAATTAGGTTTGTAAAATATATATTTCAATACACAAAAACTGACTTGTTATAGGAACTGTGAATTAATACACAAAACTAACTTGTTATAGGAACTGTGAAATAATACACAGATATTTACTTGTTATAGGAACTGTGAAATAATACACAAAAACTGACTTGTTATAGGAACTGTGAAATAATACACAGATATTGACTTGTTATAGGAACTGTGAAATAATACACAGAGACTGACTTGTTACAGGAACTGTGAAATAATACACAGAGACTGACTTGTTATAGAAACTGTAAAGTAATACACAGAGACTGACTTGTTATTCTAATTCTTAGGCTGAAAGGAAAGGAGCAACTTCCATTCAGTATGGACTGGTGTTTGGAGTTTTTAACCTGGCTATCTTAATTCTGTGTCCAGTAATATCTATTCTAGTAAGTAACCAAGCACCATTACTACATCACTAACTAAGCACCATTACTACATCAGTAACCAAACACTATTACTACATCAGTAACCAAGTACCATTACTACATCACTAACCAAACACCATTATTACATCACTAACTAAGTACCATTACTACATCAGTAACCAAGCACCATTACTACATCACTAACCAAACACCATTACTACATCAGTAATCAAGTATCATTACTACATCACTAACCAAGTACCATTACTACATCAATAACCAAGCACCATTACTACATCACTAATCAAACACCATCACTACATCAGTAACCAAACACTATTACTACATCAGTAACCAAGTACCATTACTACATCACTAACCAAACACCATTACTACATCAGTAACCAAGTACCATTACTACATCAGTAACCAATAGTATGTTACTTATTGTCAACAATCTGTTACAAATTTTTAATAATAAGTAACATACTAATTGTGTTTAATATTCGGTAATACAGATTTTTAATAATAAGTAACATACTAATTGTGTTTAATATTTGGTAGTACAGATTTTTAATAATAAGTAACATACTAATTGTGTTTAATTTTCAGTAATACAAATTTTTAATAATAAGTAACATACTAATTGTGTTTAATATTCGGTAATACAGATTTTTAATAATAAGTAACATACTAATTGTGTTTAATATTTGGTAGTACAGATTTTTAATAATAAGTAACATACTAATTGTGTTTAATTTTCGGTAGTACAGATTTTTAATAATAAGTAACATACTAATTGTGTTTAATTTT